ACCCTTGACGAGACGGGTACCGATTATTTCATTCACGGATAATGCTCAGGCTTCCTCGTGTGCTCAGATTGGTTAGAAAGCCCCCCGCCTCCGATGTGAAGAGTACATTGGCGAGTATGATATGTTCGTGGTTGATGTATTGCCCCTACCTGATAGAAGTGGTTTCAAAAATACCACAATACCAAGATACCCACTTGTACGAAATAAAAAAAATACGCCATTTAAAACATATGTATTTTCAATCTAAATAATATGGTGGGTCTGTTAAATGATCAATTCACCTTGCTATTTCTGAATCAATTATTGTCGCAGTCATATAATCCACCGAATATGGGCGCCTGGCGACTAAAGCTTTGTTGGTTCATATCAAGTGTCCGATCTTTTGTTATATTCTGTACTCCGTATCGATACATCCATTTACGCAGCCTTTATCACACGAAGCATTGGAATCACGATGCAATCACAAACCTTGGAAGCAGTCCGCTTTTCATAGCGATGAAGGCAGGTGATGAGCTCAGCTGCAACTGACCACTGAGCATGCATAGCAGAGACCTGAATGTTATGCTCAGGGCACCTTGCACCCTGTTCCACGTACGGCATTGATTCTGGTGATATCCCTGCAATCTATAAGCGCTTGCGCTATTCCTATTTCAGACTAGGGGTCCGTGTGGGCAGCCGATGAGCCCCGTTCTCAACCATGGTTGGACAAACGAACTCCTTGGGACCCGCTGTGGGGTATTCAAGTTCAAACCTCGACTGCTTTGTCTGGTGTAACGTGGTGGATACATTGTCGCTTATCCTATCAGGATTCAAAGATGACGCACTTAGTCTTCAAACAGCAGTAAGTGTCAACATAATATCTTGTGGCTTGATCAAGGCTGTATAGGTGGGAGTTTCTATTTGAAACTTTCATTGCTCTATACAAATTACCATATAATCAATAGCGGTATATTACACTTAGTGCACTCGAACTACTGCTGGTGTCGGAGCAAAACTGGTGTGCCACCATGCGCTATCCTTGCACTCACAGTAGTGTGAAGACTCTTTTCTTAGATGCCTAACCCAGGCTTTATGTGTCGGGGTGGGTGGATACTCCAGCCAATGACAGCAACAGAATAGCCGCTGTGGCTGTCTGTACGTCAGGCTTGCTGGTCATCTGGGATACTTGGAAGCCCCAAGCACGCTGACTAAATATTGGATGCTTGCTAGGATTGTGCTGTTCTAATTTTATCTTGTAGCGTGTGGGTTTTAGCGTAAACGTGCAAGGTTATTTTTGGAACCAGGATGTCGGGACATCAACTACACATGAATATATATGGAAATCAACCATCTCTCGCTTCAACCCAAAAGAAAGGGCCCGTCAAATTGGAATGATGGAGGCTCATTGCTTCACAGCCAGTTTGTACCAATACAACACGGCTATTCATCTTCGGTGCATTATTCTATACGTGCAACAACGGCAAAAGCTGGTCAAGTTTTGAGTTCTTGTAGATTGACCGTTCTATTTACTTTTAGCACTTCATCCCGCTCTGTGCGCCAATCATTCCTAACTACTTCACATCGTCTCGAACTTGGATCAGCCAAAGGCGTCACGCTCCTGCATACACCATCTTCCCTTGAGGTTTTTCGCAACTGAGGTCCCTTCCTTTGTCCCAAGTGGCCAATACTAAGATCCACCGTACCAAGAATAGAATATCCTGGAGCTCTTATGCTACCCTCCTGCCATGTGGAGAATTACCTGGCGCTCATCTACCGGAGTTCGCCCAATAGGTAACGATATACATCCTATCCGCAGCTTGCTTCAATCAACGTATGTTTTTCATTGGCTCAAGAAGACTCTTTACAGCGGTTAATGCTTCACGTCGAGGTTTATGGTGCTATTCTTAGCAATAAAGGACTTTCGGCTGCACATCCTCTGCCTTATGACCCCGTTCCTGCAGATTGAACAACGATATGTGCTGCCGTTCTTCTTGATCCGACTAATCATGACGTCCAACTAAGAATAGACAGCATCTGCTAGTCTACTAGCCTCCTGTTCCCCTCATCAGGGAGGGTCTTTTGCCGCCGATCTCACTGTTTGCGAAGTTCAATGATCAAACTACAGGTGTTCCGCGCTCGGGATACGTGACAGAACTGCAAGCTTGGGACTATCACTTACAAAGGTGTGCCTTTCATCTACTTCTCCTCTTCTAAATATACATTTGGTACGTATTTCCCCTCCCTGAGAGTTGTTTTTTGATGGTTTTGTATCATACAGTATGATACCTATCCCTTTTCTTGACTTGGATGAAGCCCTGACTGTCAATACAGGATCCAAATTAAGAACCTTGCCTTCACAATCATGCATGATCTTCTGGCGCTAGATCAGGGCATGATACAACGATGATATGGGCTTGTTCTCCGGGCAAAGACACAACTGATCAGTTCAACAACTCCAGGAAGACCGCATACCGGCATTCATGGGCTCGATATGGTCAGCTAAGGCTCATTGACAATTCAATTGCTGCTGTTATGCTAGCATGCAAATTAACAGTGCTCTTGTCATTCAACCTCGCGATCTATACAGAGCAGTTCATACGTCATGCATTTGCAGTATAAGATGCTAATACTATAATTTTAGGAAGATCATGCAGGGATTCAAAAACCAACAAGGGCCTTCAATTGGTGGGATAAAAATAGACAATGTGCCCTTGATGCATGAGTGCGGGGTCTATCACAATCGCCCCGACTACTTCCTCCCACGGGCCGCAAACCATGATCTATTTTTGATGTTATCATGGTCCTTTGAGGCATTTACTTGGAAGACCTTACTTGATTTCCCGGGACATAAAAGGCTGGGGCCCCAAAGACCAACTGCTCTGAAAGAGTTGACTGTGAATAACTATAGGCTGGAGCAGGTGGCTGTTCTAAATTTAGAGGTGGGGGTCGTAAACGCTGGTGATGCGATTGTCTGTTACATGCCCCTGTAGCAGCTCAACGAATTAAGTGGCCAGATGAGGTCCTCCTGTCGAGATCGGTTAGACTAATTCGTACACAAAAGGAAATGTAGAGTAGAGTAGAGGGCACATAGGGAGGGATTTCCAAAAATCCCGTGATCGACCCGCCTAACGCCCTCCCTCCTCCAGTTGCAGTTTCACTCCCATCCCACTCAGATCGACCATTACTGTTTGTTTCGTCCTCCCCTATCCTGAGCCGTGCGTCATCTTAGCACGCTTCGAGTATACCGAGTCCACATCGTGCGCCCCTTACATCCGAACTAAGGGTTTTGTTCCGCCCTCGACCACAGCCATGGCTCAGGCACCCCCCACCTTCACACCAGACTGTGAATTCACCGAACTCGAAACCCCGCGTGGGCCTAGGGGTGGAAGCTTATCGATATCTGCCTTGGCCCGGTTCGAATTCGAGGCGGGCAAAGGAAATGATGGCACTAAGATCCTGATGATCGAGTGGGAGGACGATGATCTCACTCGATCGTCTGTTGAAGGATCGTGGCATGTATCCTGGGCTGGAAAGACATCCGTATTGCCCGCCGATGAACGGCCGAGTGATAGCTTACGGCGCTTTTACTTCTTGCTTCCGCCGCATGCCACCATCCCTCCTGTCGTCACCCTTTCATACGAGCCGCGGTCTGCGCCTTCAGAGGCAAATGACACTACCGTCCCTATACCTTCGAAGGCACGGGAAGCTCTTCAGCTCAATCCCCTCCCTGCCATATTTCCTCCTGAGTTGGGTGCCACAGGCCGTGCAGCGGGCAAGAAGGGCGTGTTGCACACAATTTGGGGAAAGAAACGACTCCGTGTTCTTGAGAAAGAGATCGCTGCTGAATCTCAGAATAATGTAGAAGGAATTGCTCTGCACATGGCCATTCAAGAGAAGGAGTGGATTGAGGATAACTTCGGCATAATTCCGCGAGCTGGTGACGGCCTCGGCAGCAACCAGGATTCCTCGAATTCGTCCTCTGTGTATCCCGCAACTCCTGTGTCACCTATCAGCGGAAGGAAGCTGTCCGACAAGCTCAAAGGACTGAAGCTGCAAACTAGTGAGAAGGAGTTGTCGACGAATGGTGGTATGTATATCTTATCCGTGGTGTTACTGCGCTCGGTTTAGGCTAACAATATAACCAGGCTCACCTCCAGATACTGCCCATCTCCTGTCGCCCCAGTCGCCTGATGTTGCCGTTTCTTCGTTCAGCTCCTTCCGCAAGAACATCCACTCCATGCCGACGCCAGTCACCAATCCCACTTCAACTCCAATGTTGACTAACAACCCCTCGGCTCCCGAATCACTTAGGCCTGTAGCCCTCTTCCCCCCAGAAGATATACAGGAAGCCCAGCAAAACAGTGGACCCACCGGATTCGCAGCTATGGGCAGCGCGCTCACCCACATCCCGAGCAACGACAGCGACGAGCTGTTCGCAAAGGCCCTGAGCCCGCGCTCACCGGATCTCCCCCGGAGCCCATTCTCGTTTACTTGAATCTTTTGAGTTTCTTTTGCATAAACACACACCATCTTTCACGACTTTGCGCAATGATTCCCCCTCTGCGGTGCCATGACATGTCTGTCTATGATCATTTACCATGCCAACTAACATTACATTCGTCCATGCCTCCTATTTTATGCTGTCAAAGCTTTGTCAACACTTGATACATCACGGACCCATATCATGCCTCATTCCTGCATTTTCATCTGCTATCTTTGTATGGAGCTGCCATACCATATCTATGGGACATATGTACATAGACAAGAATCGAAATTCCCACGACCCCTTCAACAAGAACAGGCGTGTTTTCGATAAGTATTTCTCTCCTGCGATAGCAAAACCCTTATCTGTGTAGGCTACCAAGCAAATAAATCCTAAGCAAGCCCAAACACAAGAACAAGCGAAAGCCAGTACGCAACTCCCTTTCTTCCTCAACCACAAACCACTATCCCAGGGACAGACAACGAAACGAAGCGAAATGAAACGAAACGAAACGTAAACGAGAACCCATCAACTGGAATCAATTACTCTTCTTCCGCTGGCTACCCTGACGACCAGGCTTAGCAGGAGTAGCAGTAGAAGCCCCGGAAGCGGAAGCTGAAGCAGCCGAATCAGCATGCTCCTTCTCACCCTTCTTCCCAGAGCCAAGCGACTCGAACTCCTGCTGATCCTTGCGCTCCGCATACCACTGACCAGCCTGCAGAACGAGAATACCGACCAGAACAAGGGCAAGGATGGTGTTGGAAGCAGAAAGGACCTTGAGTGAGTCCTCACGGCCAAGGATCTGGTCCTTCTCGTCCGCGGTGGTCGCCAGCTCGGCGCCGTACTGGCCAGCCGAGGCGAGGCGCAGACCCTTGACGATGTTGGCGATGTAGACGGTGATGCCGCACATGTAGAGGACTAGGGAAGCGCCGTCGAAGAGCATGTTTGATTCGGAGGGTTTGTAGAGTTTTGTTAGGAGGCCTGCGAGCCCGAGGAAGATTACGATGTGCAGAATGCGTGGGATGAGCGGGGGCGAGGCGTGCAAGAAGCGGAGGTGCGCCTCCAGGTAGTCATAGTGGGCGGCTGGGGTGGTGATTGTTGACCAGAGGATTGGGTAGTCGTATGGGAAGAGGGAGAAGATAATGCCCAGGAAGAAACAGGTTGCTGGGGGGTTTGTTAGTTGGTGATTTTGCGGGCCCCGTGGCCTTTCTAGGTTTGGGACCGGTTCTTGAGGGAACTTGAGAAGGGGGACTTACGGCAGACGATGAGGAAGGTCGCGAACGACCCGCTTTTGAAGGCCATTGTGGTAGAGGGAAATGGGGGGGGAAGATGAGGAGGAAAGAGAGAAACGCGGAGAGACAAGGAGAGAAGTCAATCGATCGGGAGATGCCAAGGCGGGAGATAAGCAGCTCCGGGGGACATTTGAAGCGAGAGATTAGAAATTGACCGATTTGTATTGGAAATTGGTAGAAATGTGAAGTAAAATATAGTACAGTAAACGCCTTTGACTAAATAATGCGAGTGGTATCTTCCATATCCCGTAAATGCAAATATACATAACAATCACCGCTGGTACCGAGGCAACGACTCGTCCGCGTGCGCCGTCCCGCCTACCAATTGATCATCCTCGTCGAAGACCGGTGCACTTGGCCCAGCGCTGGTCTCCTCGGGTTCATCTTGAGGCGCGCTTGCTTGCTCCTGAAGTCGGTGACGCTCAAGCTCTTGCTTGTCGTCGCCAGACACACGTGGCTCCCCGGGCCCGGCAGGAGTGCCGTTTGGCACGACGGTCTGCAGCGACTCCGCCGACCGCACCGTATGCGGCTGCCCGGTTGTGTCTGGAGACGGGAGGTGCTGGTAGTCTTGGAGATGATGATCATCCGGCAAAACTGGCGCGGTCGGAACATCCATTTGGGAGTTGGACGGCCCTGCCTCAGCTTCGTCTGGCGGTTGACTGGGTAAGAGGGCTTCCTCGTGGCGTCTTACACGTGTTTTCTCATCCACGGGCTCTTCCACCTCTGGATGCGCAACCATGGGGTCCATTGGCTGGAACTGCTCAGGGTATTCTTCTGGATACTCTGCCCAGTGCAACTCGTCAGGGAAGTACTCCTCATGAGACCCGTATTCGCCTTGTGGATTAGGCAATGGGCTCGCTTCAGGCCATTCCTCCCCATCAACAGGATTAACGAGCATTGCAGATGCCGCAGGCGCAGGTTGTGGCGTAGGTTGTGACGTCGTCGATTCGGCGGCCGTGGACGAGGTACGTTTCACAGCCTTCCGTCGTTGCGAGTCACGAGTGCCAACGACAACTTCGAACGCTACTGAGATAACCCCTTTTTCACGGCGAATTGCATCCGTGTCCATGATGTTACCGGCCCAGTTGGTAGTAACGTTGTTCGCATCGGCTGGATTGAGAACCTGCCCACTGGGCGAGAAAGTAGTCCCGCCTGATACCATGTTGAAACGCGGGATGAAACGATCGGGGGAAGTGGTTTTGCCTCGCAGGTCCGTTACAACCTCCACGTAGTAACGAAAATTGATCATGGCTCCCGGTACGCGCGTGATGGTTGGAAACGCGTCCTCGGGTATTCTGATGGAAGTTTTTACAATAGCAGTCATTGTGCTCGGATCAACGATCAGCGGAGCAAATGTCTGCGAGAGGTCTTTGCGAAAAGTGCTGCTGGTTCGACTCGTCCCCAAGGTGAGTCCTCCAAGTCCAGTGCGTGAACGAGGATAGCAGTCTTCGTAGACCGGCTTTTTTCCAGCTGCTGTTGAACCGACTGGTATTGCCGGATGAAGATCAATGCGACCTTGTCGATAGAGAGTAACCATAATTCCGTGCGCACTGCGCACTTGTTTACAATGGTTGATAGTGACTGTGATGGGTAGGGTATCGCCCGGGAGCACGCCAGCGCGCGAGAGCTCAGCCTTTGCTGTGATGGTTTTATCGGTAACGGAAGGAGTCGCGCTGCGACCTTCGCTATTTCGTCCACTGGTGCTGGCAGATGAGCTAGGGTCACTGACGACCTGGAAGCTCTGGCTGCTGTTGCTCGGTCGACTGGACGAGCTCACATTGCTTGGTGAAGGGCTTAATGGTGGTCTCCCATCTACCGAGGGTGTCGCGCCACTAATAGGGGTATCAACTGAGGATGTGTCGGGTCCTGCAGTTGCGTCGGAACTCGTTGATTTTGCTTTTGCGAGCGATTTTGAACGTTTTGAGATCGGCTCCAATGTGACTATTCGAGCCTTTGGTGCTGGGAATGTGGCAATGTCGATATTTTCTAGAAGATTGACCCGTCGTCGACAGGTGAGTGTAGGGTTCATGGTGGTCGGTCGGGTGAGGGTGGAGGTAAGTGAGTAGCCGATAATGCCCCGTTCGAACTGCATACGCCTTTGTTAGCTGCTTGAATGGAATTGTCGCATGAAGAAACGCACATTGATGCTGCTAGGAAGCGCATAGGGTGGGAGCCCCATTTCAAAGCGAAATTTGTAGATTCCCTCCTTCAGACGTCCATCGCCACAAAGAACAACCTCATCCTCGAACAAGCTCGCTAGCCCATTACCCATATATTCTGCGCCGCGTCGGCCCCGCCCAGGTCCTAAGAAGCCCAAGTCGGGGGTTGCTTCTCCAGCCGGTGTCGCATTTTTGAACACCTTCACATAACCATGGAGGCATACGACGATATGTGTAATGCGAACGGGACGGACGACAGTCACGACGACAGTGCCTTTGATGACATCGCCGGGGAAATATGAGCGCCATGGGTCGTCAGGATCGATATAGAAGTCAGTGATACCGCGGTTCCGTTGGCCGAGCGGGGAGCGAAACTTGGATAGGAAGGAGTTGCGATTCCGACTGGGCGGCAACGAAGGTTGAGTGGGAGGGTTGGCGGACATGACACACGGCCGTTGTTACTGCATCTATACAAGACAACGTGGCAGGGACGAGAAACTGGGAAGGAAAGACTGAGACAGCGTTGGCGACCGAAGTGACCAGACACGCTGGCGGTCTTTGGGCAGCAGGAGGACGCGGGGATGGTCCGACAGGCAGTGAGCAGCTCAAGCTACGTCAGGAACTCCGATCGAGCCAAACGAGTAGTCGTTGACGTCGGGGATCTGGGGATCTGGGGCTCAGGACCAGTGTACTGGACACAGTCTGGTTCCAAACGTGCAAGGAATGTGTTCTCCACACAAGCAAGAGATTCCCCGGGTCCAAAGAGAGGAATGGGGAGTATCAAGGGTCACTGCACCGCATTGTTTCTGGTATCAGAGCGAGAATCACCTGTACGCCCGCTAGGAACGTATCGGTGCGGGAACTGGGTCCAGTGGCGCGAGATAAGTTTCGGAAATGCGGAAGGAATGACAGCACAGGGACCAATAGCGACAATGGCTGAATGCTGGGGGGCGCGGAGTCGAGAGTCCAGAACCCGAGGGCGCGCGACTGGGGGGGTTAAGAAGAGCCGGGGGAATGTAGGACTGGAGGGGAACGAGGAACGAGGAGGCGAAGAGGAAGAGAACCGGAGAGAACAAAGTTACGAATGAGAACAGAGAAGGCAGAGAGTAGACAGAGAAGAGAGGGAGAGAAGAGAGAGAGTCAGGTTGCGATAAGCCGGAGCGGAGATGGATTCGATTCGCGTGTCGCACGGTCAAGCTTCTCTTGGTGGCTCAACTAGTTCCCCTTTTCTGGGCATTTCCGAGGATTATCACCTGTAACGTTTCAAACTTCTTTTATTTCTCTGCGCTAAGCAATCCTAAGCTTTTTAAACGGATGCGCCGTATTATTTCAAAGTTCTCGTAGACCCTCTCCGGCCACGTACTCGTCTCCATAGCATTCTCGCAACACTTCCTCAACCATTTGTCTGTCCCCGCCTGCTAACTTGCGCAAATACTCCTCTAGCACGTAGATGTTGTCTGTCCACTTCAGTGCATCCTGCCGGAACCCCGCTAGCTCTGCTTGGACCTGCTTGACACTCTTGACGCCGAGCGAGTCAAGGGTCCTGGTGAGTTGGGCTTCTATAGTCTGTACCCGGTCCACGGCCGTCTGAAGTCCGGCCTTCTGGAGTATGAGGGACTCCCTCTCTTCCTCGTCTTCGAGTTCTTCCTCTCGACGGGCTGTCTCATCGGCCAGGGCCGCCGCCATCTCGGTGCAGGACTTCCGAGATTTCTCCACTTCCGCGCTCACCCGGGCCAAGTGGCGCTCTTGTTCATGCTTGTCGTCACTGGCGAAGCTCCAGTACCAGTTGCCGCTGCCGATCTTTTCAACTCGTAGTTGGTTCTCATCGGTTAGCGCCTGGATGTACTCCTTGACTTGGATCCCATTGATGGATGCCACCGAGGGTAGCGTCTTCTCTAGATCCTTGAGCGTGTGACAGGTTCCAGTGGCGCGAAGGTGAGTCAGAATGAGACGCTGTCTAGCGCTTTTGGATAGTTTGGGTGGCTTGGGGTGCAACAAGACGCGTCAGTAGTTTCCTTTGAACGACCCCTGTCATCCTCGAAAACGTCCGAAGCCACGTACCATGATGCCTTTGATACTTTTTTAAGCGAGATACCCCAGAAAGCTTGTGTCGTCAGCCTTCCCTGATCTGGTCAAGAGTGGGACAGTTAAGCATTGGTGGAGAGATCAAGTCAGGGAAGTGCCCGTGTGCCACACCACACAAGCTCATGTTTTCAATGTTACAGACCTGCTTAGTCTCTGAAACAGACTGATGTTATAGATTAATTAAATGCTTTAATTGCTTGTCAACTTTATTTAACACTGTTCAGGTTGTACTAATAAATAGTCTGTACTTTGTCTAAAATGCGTGATTTGACGCCTCAATATCAAGCCTCGACGAAATTTAATCCAGGAAATTCCTGGAAGATCCTAGCAGGGTGAAGGCGTCGAGTGAGACAGCACACTGCAACCAAAACTGAGTTTCATGGCTTCATGGCAGAGATGGGGCAATTTTAGCCCGGGTTGAGGACATGTGCAGGGTGCACGACATATCAATCTCCTGCAAATAGACAATATGCAACTTTTAATCCCTGTTTGCCGGAGTATTAGCCACGGTATTCTCAGATGCTGTTCCCTGAATGGTCTGAAGACATGGCGGTACACGTTGTGTGTTCAATGTAGTAGGAGCCGCTGGGACACATGGTCGTACAGGGTGCTGCCTGGTGCTTGTATGCCATAGGGTATGGAAAGAGAATTGTATATATACCGACACCATGTGCAGAGTCTGTACAACTGCAAATGGTGCGACCCGATTCGTCCTCTAAGGGTTTGGATGAGGCTCTGCGGTCTCTCGCGTATTGTGATACGGCTAGAGGCATGAGCCTCCGAGGAGACACATGCGTGGATGCCCTGATGTGAGATTCAGCACATGCCATAGACTTCATCGTCGGTCGTCAACCTCAGTGTCCACATCCGTTGTGGCAGAAGCCGAACGAGTTAACTTGCGGCGCTTCGGTCTGTTTTTCGTACTACTGCTGGCTCGTTTCCTTCGCACAATTCGTGCTGCAGACTGATTTGTAGTGTCGCTCTCAGCGCCGGTCTGTTCTTCCTGTTCTTCCAACAGCTCCTGCCCTTCGACGAGGACAAGATCACCCGTGTCGCCCAGAGCGTCTTTGGACATCTCCTCAATCAGAATTCCCATTGCAAGTAGGGCTGTCTCATCCATGGTTTTGTGGTCATCTTGGCCATTGTCTGCTGTAGCGTATTCGTAGAAGTCGGCCGCATAAGCATGAAGCGTCTCGAGGAGCTCGGAGCTCGGCAGAGATTGACCATCGGGGAGATTTTCGTGTGCGAAGTATGTCTTCTCGACCTGTTCGCTAACGGGTCCTACTGAAATATTCTGTTTGCGGAGGAGAAGTTCCTCCGGCCGGAGTGGTCGAGCGCCCGATGAAGCTGTATCGCGGTGATAAGAGACTACCGGCTGGGATGCTTGGATTCCGCGAGGGTTGACACGACCTGAATATTTTAATTAACTGGCGTCCGAGAGGTAAAATCAAGCGAGACAGCATACCAGCTACCGCGTCGTAGAGATTAGCACGTCGTTTTGAGTACCTCGAAGACTTGTCTTCGAGCACCTCATCGTTATCGTTATTTTCCACAGGCTCAACAAAATGGTCCTGAGTCACGCTGCGCGACCTGCCAACAGACATAATTGAGATTTGCCAGACAGATCAGTCAAGATTTGACAAATCATCTAGTGCGGCGCAGAGCATGAACGGAGTCGAGACCTCCAAGTCCCCAAAAACATTGATGCGCCGGCACAACTTTAATCCGGTGGAGCATAGCATCATCGGCCTCCGCAACAGCTCCGACTCCATGCAAGGGCACCGACGCTGATGAATGAATGAATTCCTATCTCCTCAACAGAGCCCTCGGGTCTGTCAATCCGAATGACTTTCACGTCGCTCAAACCACCCGACTAGTCCACCATCTCGAACCCGCTCCAGGCATACGGTTCTCCAGTCGCAGAGCAGCTGCATCAACGGACCGGACCGAAGATGATGTGGCGCCTTTGGATCAAGAGCTTAACTCCGCGGCGGAGGTGTTTGCTCACAAGTCCGGCGTGAATTGCCTAGCTGTTGATCAGTTCGAGGGCCGATAGTGCGTGCACTTTTTCCATCTCCATAATTGTCAATCTAATGCGCGTATAGTATGATATCGGGAGGCGCCGATCCATCGATCCACCTGTGGGATCTCGAAACAAGAGGTTCGGAGCTTGAACATATCCATCAATCTTGCGCGTCGGTTAGTAAATCCTCGCATGCCGACGCGCATACACATGCGATTACATCGCTCTCGATTTACCCGTTTGATCCCGTTCCTTCAACGATCTTCTCGACATCGCATGATGGTACATTGAAGCTCTCTACGCTGGATTCACCTTCTATCACCCCGGTCCATACATTCAGTCTCGACTGCACTCCATATTCGCACTCGTTCTCGTCTCAGCCTGGGTCTACCCTGCTTGTCGCAGTAGGCACATCCGAACGATCGGTACGATTAGTAGACCTACGATCAGGTCTATCAACGCAAGGATTACCAGGACACAATGGCGCGGTATTGTCTGTAGCATGGGCTCCCCATCGACCCCATCTGCTTGCGTCAGGCTCAGTCGACAATCGGGTGATCATATTCGATGTCCGTCGTGGAGGTCACAACTCTGCCATTGCAACCTTGGATATGGATGATCCTGTGGGACTAGGTCTACCAGGGACGGGGTCTATACCCGCCTCTTATGAGAGCCGTCCGGCGTTCTCTCGACATTCCCGTGCTCATAACGGGCCTGTGACGGGGGTCCGTTGGACATCCAATGGAAGTCATATCGTGACAACGGGTCAGGACTCGCGGATCCGAGTATGGGACTCGGGGACTGGTGCTAATACACTAGTACATTTCGGTCCTCGGGTCCGCAATAGCTCTTCCTCGCACCTGGCTGAACGCGCCCCGCTGATGGTACCGAAAGGTGCAATGAGTCCCGGTCATGAGACGTTACTATGGCCTAATTTCAATGAACAAGATGACCGCGGCGAGATCTTCATGTTTGAACTGCGCGAGGGAACGTTCGTCAAGCGTCTCCGAGTCCCAGGTCTAACGATTGGGTCACAGAATGTACGTGGTCGATCGAGCGCTCTTAGTGCCGCCCGCGTCAATGATCTAGTGTGGCGTGGCAACGGTGCATCCGGAGAGGGCATCGAGCTATTTTCCGCGCATGGTGATGGAACAATCCGAACATGGGTATCTCGCGAACCAGACGGTGAGCCCACAGAAGCCGAGGAAGCAGGCATGGCCGATCGCAAGAGAAAGCGAGACGTTCTAGATGAGATCTACCAAGGGTTCCTCGCGCCCGATCAACCCAGCCTTCAAATATGAACAATGAATCTACAACCAACTGTACAATACAAACCAAATATACGCAAATAACCCGATCAATGTTTTTTAGGACGAAAATCAATTTTCCTACTTTACATCGGATCAAAACGCCATATCATAACATCATGTACCAAACAGCAGAGCCAAACAGAAGATTCAACTCGCAATACATCCATCCTACTCATTGCGCAGATTATGCTGACCAACAAACTCGCCCGAATCTTCATCCTCCTTAGCATACCGCTCAAACTCACTGCGACCATACTTCTGATGCTTGAATTCACGAGTATCACCATGACCAGCATGATGATTAGGACCCATATAAGCATGCTTAGCCTCCACGCCAGCCGGCATGGAGTTCCCGGTTCCGGAAATCACCTCGCCGCTCTGGCCGACGTCACGGGTTGAGCGTGGCACGTCGGTGGCGTTGTCGGCGGCCATTGCTGTGGATGGTTCGGCTATGCCGGCGTTGTCGAAGCCGAAGTGGTCGGCTCTTTGGTCTGGGCGTGGGACTGAGGGGATGGTGCGCATTTTGCCTGCGTCGTTGGGCAAGTTTGTGCCTGTTGTTGCCATGTCTGAGAGGCTGCCGCCTTGGTGGGGGTCTTGTTGGCGGTCTTGTTGGCGAACCATTTTGGAAGTTAAGGCTGTTTCGAGAGTTGGTTTGATGGTACGATATGTCCGAAGCAGTTCGGACTTTTGGTACTGGTATGGTAGAGTGTCTTTTTGGGATAGGCAGGATTCTGTTATACTACAAGAGAAGGAATGGATATATCCAGTCTTTTATAATTGATCCAGAGACTCACTTCGTGTTGGATTGTACGTACGGGCTGATGTCACAACATTGGTCTAGGGATGATGAAGTGATGATCTCACACCGGGTCTGTCTTGATTGGTGGTATGCATTATCCACATAGAACAAAGAGGAGCTTTGCACAAGGATTCAGTCGATTCTGGGCAATTGAGTCCTCTTTTCTGGTAGTCTCGGTGGGGGTTGCCATATGTAATGGACTGGGTGACGAAAATGGGTCGCAATTTTAACTTGTTATTAGATCAGGGTTGGAGCCACCTGCATTCAAGTTTCGATGTCGATTGTGAGGGTGAAAGTAAGTCTGGGTCTTTCAATGAACACGAGTGGTGGAGGCGTTTACGGACCTACAGTGAGAGTTTACATTTGAGCTACTATGATGAAAGGTAGTAAGAAAAAGTAAAGTCTTGATGTTATAGATACTTGTAAGAATCCTCAAGGGCACAACTGGACATTAATGACGAAGTCAAACGCGTAGAATACAGAAGGAAACAAGACTAAAAGGAAGGAGCTAACGAGTGAAAGCGGACTTATACACCAAACGCCTGAGTTTTAGAGGGGAGCTCCCACATCTAGAGGATGAAGGCAAGCACACCCATAACACCGGCGGCAGCGGAGAGAAGACCGCCAGAGAGGCGGGCAGCACCACCCTCGAACATGGTAGCATGCTCGGAGGGAGATGCAGCTGCGGACGACTTGGCTCCATGTGACACGGCATCAACACCGGTGGGCATCATCTTGGCCATGCTGCCAGAGGGGGTGGCCATGGCATAGGAAGAGGAGGCAGGGGTGGCCACGGGGACGTGCACGGGGACCGTGGAGTATGAAGCAGCGTGGCTCATGAGACGCTGGGAAGCGTAGGAGTAGGGAGCGTAAGAGCGGACGCCAGACGAGGCGGAGCCCGAGAGTGGGACAGCGTTGGAGAAGACCTTGGGGTCAACTTGGGCAGACATCTGGGGGGTAGCGGCCATGGAGACAGCGCTGGTCTGGGCCTTCAACTTGTACTGCTTGGGGACCTCAGGGGTGGCGTCCACGGTCTGGTACTGGGTCTTGGTCACGGTGCGGACAACCTCGTGCACCTTGGCGGCACACTCCTGGTGGTCTTCGCGGGGAGGAGCTTCAGCCTCAGTGGCGGCCTGGGGAACCTCAGCGTGGGCAGGAGGAGAACCACCAGCACCGAAGCTCTCGGTGACGGGAGACTCAACAGGGGCGGGGGTAGCCTCGTAGCTGGAAGGACCCTCCTCGTAGCTGGAAGGACCCTCCTCGTAGCTGTAAGGACCCTCCTCGTCGTCCGCCCATGAGTGGTGAGGAGGAGCAGGACGGTGGACGTCAGTGAAGTCACCCTTGATGGCGTGGTCGTCCTCGTGGTGCTCGTTGACACCAGTGGTCACATCGACGTTGGTGGGGTCCGAGTAATCGGTTCCATCATCATCACCGGAGGGACCACCGATGACAGTGCCACCGCCAGCCTCGCGGCTAGGAGAGTACGCACGGCGGAAAGGAGGGTGAGCACCGAAGTGGATGGGAGGACGAGGGTAGACATCCTTGTGCTTCAGGTGGATAGAGTGATCATCCTCGTTGTGTTCGTTGACATCAGTGTCGGTGTCGACGGTAACAGGAGCGCTGAAGCTCTGGCCACCGTCGTTTCCAGAGGGGCCACCAATGACGGTGGCACCCTGCTCATGCTCGCGTCCCCAGCCGC